CTGTGGTTCTTATTTTAGGGAATCTCATCACAGACCGAGAGAGAACATCACTCTGTCCACACATGGGCAGTAAACGTACGCCACGGCTATTTGCTACAATTATTTAACAAATCCACTTTATGCACAGCGTAAGCGTGGCACAGCCTTCCAAATCCAACTCGAAACAGAAAATTGAAGTGACAGAAGTTGAAACGTTGCGATGAGGGAGAAGTGTGGGCTTTACTGTACGCGGCAGCTGGTGGGAGTAAACAGGAATGAACATGCCACTCTGTCACCACAGAGAGGACTGAAGATGCTGGCAGAGAACAGAAAGGCAGGCTACGTACCCGTCCTGTCTGGGGACTGTGGGGGGAAGCAAGCAGTATGTGGGACAGCCTCCATCTAGCCTCAAATCTCTAGAGAACCTGCCATGACCCTCTTTTAAGAACGCGCGTGTGTGTGTATACTTTCATCTGCGTGCTAGAGAGCAAAATGTGTAAAAGACACGGTGTCATAGAGCGAGACAAGGAACGTGTGCAAGGCTGGCTGAGAAAACGGTAAAAGGAGACGCTATCCAAGTTCGACGATGGTGAATTTGTGCATACGTACGTCTCTGTAAAAGATTTAAACTGGGCATCCTAACCAGGCAGGAGACAGAAAGGTGCAAAATTATACAAAACATAACATGTAGCCTGACATATACTGCCTCATCAACTCATCCCACTGCAGTTTTCTGAGACCTGGCTGTGAACCTTTTCTAAAAGACATCACATAAACAAGACAGAAAAAAAAATGAATGGAATGACGTCTGGGTGGATTTCTCTTTCTCCTTATATCTGTCTTCTTTACACATTCACAAAAAATATGATGGAAAACACTGAAAAATAACAAAAAATGTTTTGTCAAGTACAGTTTGGGGTCTCCCCACAGAACGTACGAGGCCTTAAAGATGTTTAGTGAGAACTGCTTTTGCTCTCGATCTTTTTTCTTGCAAGTAGATGCGTCAGTCTTGCAGGCGATGAGATAAAATGAAGAACTGTCAGAGAGAACAGATTACCAATTGTCGCATTTTAAGGGTTTTTAATCGTGCATATTAGTTTATCTTACATCTCTGTGGAAAATTAATCGCCTAAATATGGTAAACAGATTTTTCGAAACTCTCAGATACGCAGAGCACGTCTTACGTCGACCTTCATATTTAAAAAGCGTTAGATCTGACCATGATAAAGGGGATTTGAGGAAAAGCTGCAGAACTTCACATTCACTGGCATTAAAGCCCCCCCGAAAAACTGTGCGCGCGCACACACACACACACACATCCATCTAGGAATCCCTATTGCCATATATGATCAAAATAAGATGGCTTGGCAGGAGAAGTAAGGTCAGCAATAAATGTGAGCCTAACCCTTGATCCCCTTCCTGGTTCAATCACACTGCTCATCTAAAAAGGATGCCTTAACCTGGTATAACAAGATGTACTGCTGACACAGGAAGGAACAATGAAATCACTGAGTACTTGGCAAACGACTTAAACAATGCCTGGAATGATATGCCGTAGAGAGGGCCACAACTTTTTGGTGTCAGAGTTAACTTTAGCCCCAGCCAGACTTAATTTATTTTTAAGGATGTTTTTCCGTAATCAGGCACATACACAAATGCCAACTGACAGCCTGTCTGGGAGTTTGAACTCTGAAAAAAAATCCTGGAAAAGCACTTTAGGAAACCTTAAAATGTTTAACCTAACAGCTCACTTTACTGACCGTTTGCTTGCTCCAGCAGTTTATTTACCCGATGCAGCAAAAGCCACAGCTCTTAGTTCACTTTGTTTTGACCAAGTAGAGGCAAACCATTGGTCTGTGGAGCAGGAAGCTGTCAGTATGGCCTGATATGGCACTATGCAACAAGCAGCCACACTGTGGTACTGCTGCAGCCCTGGAAGAGCGGTTATTCTCCGAGTTAGCAGTTTAACAATGATAACATTTAACCTCCCTGTATTCTTAGACTGGAAACTTTGTGCTTGGGTCGGGTGCAAGATGTAACCAAGCCACATAACTGTTCTGGCACATACACGCTGGCCATGTAGCAAATCCTGCCAGTAAGCGAGTGGCACAGAAGGAGGGTGGACTGTCATTAGTGAGAGGAAAATCAACGCTGTTACAGGAATGCAATATGCAGTTACAGTAACATCAATCTAGAGTTAAAACAATTACAAGACTTTACCAATCTGCATTATGTGGTTCCAGATCTACAACAAACATGAGAAGCTGCTACAGCGGTTAGCACAGTTGCCTCGCAGCAAGAAGGTCCCGAGTTCAATTCCAGGCTGGGGACTTTCTGAGTGGAGTTCTTCTTGCATGTTCTCCCTGGTTACTCCACAGACATGCACGGGGCTGGGTTAACTGGTGATTAGCCAGTTATTATTAGACTAAATTAGCTGTAGGTGTGAATGTGAGCAATCGTTCGTCCCTCGCCCTTTGACAGAGTGGTGACCTGTCCGGGGTGCCTCTCACGCTATGACAGCTGGGATAGGCTCCAGCCCAACTGCGATTCTGAATTGGATAAGTGGGAGAAAATGGACTGATGGAAGGATGGAAGGAAGACCTTACTGGTAACGGAATCATCTTAGACTTCTGGGCAGGCAAAAATCAATTTTAAGATTGGGCTTTAGGACGGTAATTTGCCAAGTATTTGCCGTTTCTTATGTCAGGCTGCATTTCATTGTCAGTAAGCTGGAGTTTTCTTGCACGCAAGAACAATTCATCAACATTTTTTTTCCTGGTAAAGAGTCTGCTACTTTGTTTTACAGAAGTCTCAAGCATCTTCCTGACTGTACTGGACATTTGATAAACAAAATGCACAGTAAGCCTGGGTAAATTAGACCCCATTTACACACACAAAAGTTACATTTAACTTGCAGACCTGATATTTCCGTCAATGTAGGGCCAAAAATCACTTCATTTTTTAAATACACAAGGAAATCTGCTGCACTATTATGTTAAAGCTCAAATCAGCAAAAAGGTTGTGTGATATTTTACCTAATAAAGCATATCTACTAATTTCATGTGTAACGCTGCAGGAGTCTGCAGTTGCACATTATATATTAAAGCTAAAGCTGTGCACACTGAGCCGTGGGGTAGAAGATCAACTGACATGTTGAACACATCCCGTACGTGCTGAAATCCAGGGTAGCCAATTACGGAAAAAAAAAAAAAAAAGGAAAAAAAAAACAACTTCTCAATCATGTGAGATGGTGCTCAATATCATTCCACCTCTCCTGTGCAGTTTCTTGGCAAAAATTCCCCAGACTGTTCCCAAAGGTCAAGGCTGGGCTTTGCCACAGCAGGTTCCTGCGATCAGTATGTACAAGCTGGTAAATGAGTGCAGACTGTAAGGAGCCTTATAAAAGTAAAAATAAAAAAATTAAATAAATAAATGCAGCCATTTTGAAATGCGATGGTTAAATGTTCAAAAACGGAGACCGTCTCCATCCTCCACTGAGGTGTGGAGAGGCCGAGATCGCACGGAGTGTTGTGGGCTTGAGAATTATGCCAGGGGATAATAGGAGTCAGTGACACCTTAAAAAGTCTGAGCAGCAGATGTGTTTAACCAAGCCTATTAAAACCAGGACTAATCCTGCCTTACACGTCCTTATCCAGCCGTCCACTGACAGCTTTAGCTTGCACAGGACAGTCCACTTACAGCGTGACTGGTTTCCATTTGCGCTTGCTTTCAGTCCTTCAGACTGATGCACCCATAAACGTTTGTTTAAAAGACTGCTGTTAGAATCAGCTCCATTAATCCAGCTCATCACCAGGCATGAGTAGCAAACGCCCCTTCTCACCTGCTCACCTTGGCAGCCAGGTAGAAGAACGTGCAGCAGAGATGAAGATGTACGACACACAGCAAACTATGTCCCATCAATGGCCTACTTTACCTAGTTGAGGTACTCACCAGGGAAATAAAAAGGAGACACACATGTCAAATAACCAGGGCTGCTTTTAGTGAGCGTGAAATGGGAGCAAACGTTTTGAAACTAAGGATGCAACCTAGATAATTCCAATTGTCCTAAAAAGGGAGATTCTTTTATCACCCCCCTCCCCAAGCTCTTACACCAAGCATTAGTTCAAGTAGCCATGGAGGGAAGGGGGTGGGTCACATAATGGACAAGAAGTTAGTCTGTTATAATATGGTAGGTAAGCGAGTACATTCGAGAAAGCACAGTCCACTGTTCCCTTTTGTGTCCACAGAACTATGAATCAATGCAGTACAGAGCAACTTATCCAACAGCAGCTCCCACCTGCCCACACACTTGCTATAAAAATAGCTAACCTACTCAGCTAGACTCCAGGATGAGGGGGCCAGCCCCTCAGTATCCTTGTCCTCTGCAAGTGTAGATTTGTGACACTAGTTACTCATTAAATAATAACAGAAATGTAACAATGAATGAGTGGGCACCATACAAGGTCTAGCTGAGGGATCTGAAAGGTCTTCCAGTTGTACAAATGTTATGCAACCTATTGAAATCAACTCAAAGCCCCCCTCCTCCCCCCGATTAAATCAAGTGGCCATCTTCACAGTTAACCAGCGCCTGCTGACAAACGACAGTAGCGGTTTTGCAGCTGGGAGATGAATCAGACAGTCATAACTTAACATGTGGTCGCCTGCAAACGGTGACATCTTCGCAACTTCGATGCCAAATGAGCCTGTTGTCTGCACGCCAATGCAAAATCCACACACACACACGAATAAAGAGACGGATCCGCTGGTTAGGCATGCCATGCAGATTCACACCTGCACACGCCAGATAGCCAAATCCAACGCAAGTTGCAAAAACAAGCTCTGCATTTCGGAAAATCATGCCATAACGTTTACTCATAATCACACCAGGCTTCCAGCTAGCAACCTTAACTAGCAGCATATCTGCTAGCATCGCCAAGAAGGCCCAAGGAGGTTGGCTGTCCACATAAACGACACAAACATGGCTATTAAAAAGGGCGTTTGGGATTTAGCATGCTACATACCGAGCAGCAGTAATTTCAGCTCTCTCCTGGAGTCTCGCTTGTCTCGGCGGAGTTGTTTGTCAATTTCTGCATTGATTCGTTTCGACTCCTTCGCCTCTTCGCTCAGGCAGCAAGCCATCATGGACTCCAGAGTCATCCCCTCTGGTTTTTGGCAGCCCGGTTCAGGCGGGACCTAACGAACACTTGCCCACGGTTTCAGCTTCTCCCGAACCCCGGTTTCCTCGCTTCTGTCTCTAGCGAGGAGGAGGTGGTGGTGGTGGTAGTAGTAGTGTCGGACCGGACGAGTGGATGGATAGGACTGGGGGAGGGGTGGGGGGGAGACTAGCCAAGGGGCCTCGCTGTCAAGTTGTCCCCCCGGCCGAGAGCAACTGCGACTTCAACCGGGCGATCTCAGCAAATCACGGGAGATTCGGACAAGGAGGAGGGAGCCAGGAGACGGTGGGGCCTCCCCGAGATGCTCTCAGCCTGCACGCCTCTTAATACAGCTAATATTAAAATGACTCCAGCTGCCACAGATTAGCTACTTAATACCCGTTTATATCATTAACCCCTCGTGTGTCACTGGGAGATCCAATTCTACCTTCTTTAATTTAATCTTCTCAATCCGCTAAAAGTGGTTTAAGACCGCAGAGTCGCCACATCCGAACCCGTAACAGCTGATATCTGTGCACTCTCCCCAACGCTAGATAAGCCCGTTTAGTCTGTAAAAGTAAAGACCCCTTGTCAGCAGGCTAATATTAGAGTGGTAATCTATATTGCACTAGCCACACCGCAGCACTGCGCCTATTTTCCGAGTAACTACATCAGCTAACGCTGGCTAAATTAGACGTAACGACTACGGAGGCTGCCCTGCTAGCCCGCTAGCTCACTAAACAGCGCCTCGGCTAAAATGTGTCAACCCGCAGTGATTGAAGCAGCAGGCTGCTGGTTGAAGGAATTTGACTGCCTAGCTAGCAATAACTACACAGCAGCCTATTACATCTTGGCTCATTTTGACGATAAAATAAAATGCTACGACAACGACCGAAAACAAATCTGAAAAACGCGTGCCGAGCCGGCGGCTTTTGCTAGAAATATATTCACTTCAAGCAGAAAGCTTTCGGGTCGTTCGTCGCTGGAACTAGGTGGGCACACAACAGGATGATGCCAAGCGAGGAGGAGGATACAGTAGTGTTGACTGACAAACGGCGGATTTCACCAAACAGGTTCGTGGCAGACCAATTGAATGAACGAGGCGGGTCTCTGGGTGGGCTCAAGTTAGATCCATGAGATGCAGATGCAGGCTAAACCTAAAAAGCATGACCAGATAAAAGCTGTTTTTTTTTTTATTGTCGTCCAAGTCAGAGCACCTGTTGCATATATGCTATCTCCAGCTTAATAATATGTTAGAATATATAGGAACGCTTAAGCGTAAGCACTCCTTATCCTTCCATCAATAACCTGCAGGGTATTGGAAGCGAGCGTCAAGTGTGCTGGAATAACAGCGGCATCTAGTGGCCTTATAGTAGAATTGCAAGTGTCGCCTGTTAAGACTGGGTTCATTCATTCACTGAGTCCATGAAGCAAATGAGGACACTTGGCATTCATAAATGGGCCACTCTGCAATTGCAGGACAATTTCTGTCCCACCCATGAATTTCAAAGTAACCCCTGTACAAAATACTAGAACACGCATTTGTTGTGTAAATTAAACATGTCTCGAGGCAAGTGTAGAAAAGGGGTTCCAAAATATTATTTAAAATACAAAATATCTCCAGGGAAACCTTCAAAAACTGTCACTTGTCTCTCGTCACAGCTTCTTGACAACCAAATTGCATGTCAAATACAACAATTAACATAAGTTATAAATCCACCTTTTCTTTTTGACTATGCTGACATGTGTCTCTTATACTTGTTAAACCATTTTATTTACATCAACATATTTTAAAGAAGACAACATGATATTATGAAAAGACAAATTCATTTCTTTCTTGCATTTCTTTATTTCTGCTACTCTAATTTTATAATTTTTTAATAAAATAATCATAAATGTTATTATTAACTCACAGGGGTTTAATCTATTGCCTTTGTAGTAGTTTGAATTATTGTATGAATAGTGCATTTGAGCAAAAACATATACAGGAGTTTCTTGTTACCATAAAAAAAATAATAAAAGGAACCCATTCACCAAAGTGCATCATAAATAAGTGTAATGTTTAGAAATGCTTGCTTTGCCTCTGCCTTTTATAAGATTGTTGCCAACACACAGTATGGGAAATGTGACATTTTAAGGCTAATCTGGCAGATGGATTTAAAGCTGAACATTGATAAAGACTCTTGGAAAAGCATGGTCTCTAGTGTGGGTGGGCTCACAAGAAGAGCTCAGGAAAAACTGACATGTTATAAGATACTCCACTGTTTTTCAGTTTAATTCTGTTCTGTTATATGTACTGTTCTCTTTGAAGAACAGTTTGAAGAAAATTCAAGAGCCGAATAAAATTTTTAATGAGATAAATGTAAGTAAAGTTAGGTAAATATAAAAAAAGCAACAGATTGAGATTCTTATTTCAGTAATCCAGTCATGCTGGTAATGTAACAAAAGGTATAATTGCACATGGAAAAAAGTGTTCAATTATTTTTCTTATTTTGCTCTTCAAAATAGTCACAGAAGAGCTGCCTGACTTCCTCATTATTACTTTGGTTCATGCTAGTAGAGAGAAGCTGTTTGTGGCTGGGTTGGGGACTCTCTGCCTCGGCCACCTCCACCTGCCACTCCGCTTTAAATGCGTCTCCGTGAGACTCGCACATGTTGTGCAGAATGCAGCAAGCCAGGATCATGGTGGGCACCACGTCCAGTCCGCAGTCGTTCCTCTTGCTGAGGCACTGCCAGCGTGCCCTCAGCCGCAGCAGCGCCTCCTGAGACACGCGCAGCGCTCGGGCAAGCCGTCCATTAAACAGCTGCTGCTGCTCCGTCAGTGCCGCGTGACTCGCCGTCCTGCCCTGTTCCTCAGGATAGGCCTTCATCAGCCAGCTCTGGAGCGGGTAACAGGCCTCACCCAGCAACACATACCTGGATGTGATAAATGAGTGTCATTTATTTAATGCCTGGAATACCTGAAATAGACAAAAACACTCAACACTACTACATTTCACAGTTTGCAAATTTGCATTATCTTTATTGGCCAGCAGGTGGCAACATTAAAAAGACGTGCAGTTGTACAGAAGTTTATAGGAAAACAAGCTTAGGTTTCCTTTGCCCTGTGACCTCAGTAAATATAAGAGTCAGAAAAGAGGATTATAGTGTCCTTGGGTTCAAAACATCAATGTGGCAACAATAAAAATGGTCATCCAACTAAAGGATGACATCACAGTGTCTACATTTGCTTGTTACACAAAGGCCATGTGAAAACCTGACATACATGAGGAAAAAAACAACTTGAATGCCTGAAAAATGTGACTGAATTTCTTCTGTTAACTCTACCTGAGTGATTTTCCCATGAAGGTAGGTGGCGGGGCAGGTGAGAGTCCACCCTCGGCGGCTGTTGCCCATAGCGAAGAGTTCTGTAAGATCTCAGCTGGATCTGTCCCGCCTGGGAAACTGGCACATACATCCCAGAAGTGCCCCCGACCGCTAACAGCCACCTAAAACAGTGAAGGCACACAGAGGCAAACAGTCGGACTCTGATTGGATAACCCGCAAGCTTGTAATTGCAGTGACATAAATGGGCGCTTTCGTCACCTGCGACATGACTGAGAGCCAGCCGGCAGGGTTGGCGTAGTCAGACGCGTTGTTTGATGGGGTGATAATAGCTGTGTGGAGTGTTGCTATAGCAGCGACGCAGTGAGGGAAACCCCAGTGAGACAGGAACAGCTGAGCTGAATCCTCCAGCTCCTGCTCACCTGGCGATCGGAGGTAGATGGAGCTGAGGAGCGCCACGATGGCGTGACACATGTCTCTAACGCACCTGCACACGGTCGACTTCCCCACACCGAACAAGGCGCTGATGGTGCGGTACTCGATGTTGGATGCCAGGCGCCACAAAGCTACAGCTACACGCTTCTCCACGGGCAGTGCCAGGCGGAAACTGGTGTCCCGTCGAGCCAGGCGGGGCCTCAGCTTGTCGCAGAGGTAGAAGAACGTCTCTCGGTTCATGCGAAACTTATCCAGCCAATCAGAGGGCTGGAATTCTGTCATGACAACCCGCTCCCACCAGTCTGTGCTTGGAGTGGTGGTCCAGGGACGAGTGCGGATGCGGGCATTGGAGCGGACGCCTCCCGCTATCATCATCTACAGAGACAAACATAAAAACAAAATTAAAATTACTTCCCTCTGAAATATCCAAAATCTGTCACATTTTTTAACATAATGTTTGCTTTTTTTTGATCCCAGCAGTAGTTATTCAATCAGATAATTTTTTAAATTCATATTTACCACAAAGGTAATTTTAGTGATCTATTAAGTCAGCACCTTTTTGGCAAGCCCCTTGTTTTAAACATGCTGCCGTTGATATAGCAGAAAATTTGAGGATATTGTATTCTTGGACTCATGTAATAACATGTCAACATTTAATATGGTTTTGGCACAATCAAATGGTTAAACTGAGTTTACCCATGTAACAAAATATTATTTTCCAGTACATTATGTAATAACTGGGGAGATATGAAGTTGGTCCTAGTGATGAAGTTTACAGATTTTTTGATAGTTGTCAAATTTAAATTGTTGCTCATTTGATATACAAATGCAAATGGTGGAGCAGATTTTTTAGAAATATACACTATAAAGCTTATTACATTATTATTACATAACACATTTATTAGAGCACCACCCAATGTAAGTTTATGCCACAGCTATGCTACATTAACAGTACTGGTAAATACCAAAAACATAGGCACACACACACACACACACACACACACACACACACACACACACATATATATATATATACATATATATATATATATATATATATACACACACATACAAACATAACATAACAAAACATTACATAAAAATATATATACATACATATATAAAATTTCCTGCAAGGGTTAATCCACCAATATGCACAAGGTCTTTCATCAAAATGATCTATTTACATTGTAATATTATACTAACCAGAAATTCTGAGTTAGAGATGGCAAAAAATAACACAAAAAACCTTCTTGTGTCAGTAACAATCTTCCATACTTGTACTTGTTTTCAGTGTAATGTTGTTTATTTGATGACTATCTTTTTCATTATCCCAACATAATATCATCAAGTTTCCTGTGATTTGTAAAATATATCTGTATAAGTAGATATAGAAATTTCCCAAATATACCATAAAAACAAAAGTTTACAAGGGGAAAATCCAACAGCTGGTATCTGCATATCTGTCCTTTTTTTTTTAATGAATTAAACATTTCAGAAAATGTAACACCCTATTTAACAAGAACAAAAACCTGCATATAACAGACCTAATTCATAGCTAATGGACAGCTGTTAGCAGCTTGACTGTGGCTGCTCTGACATATTTTCAAGTTTAAATGCAGGTAGGCCCACAGTCTCTGGTTTTAGTGCTTTTATATGACTGTAAATGTGAGATTTAAGAGTTTTGAAGTGTTGGTCGTGTACAACGTGACTTTATTAAAAGCTTTGACGTTTTGCAGACAGATAATACACTATATTAGTTAAGAGCACTTGACATGTTGATGTGTTATTATTTTAAGCCCCTATAGAGGGGGACTGACCATGAGCATCCTCCTCTGTCTCTGGAAGAAGTACTGGCGGTGTCTGATGCGTCTTTGGATCTCGTTGCGTCTCTGAATGTTTGCGTCGTTTATGTCTCTCATGCGCTTCAGCAGCATGTAAGTCACGAGAAACATCAAAGAGCGCAGCTGCTCCTCCTCTTCCATTATTCCAGCTTTACCCGGGAGGCGACACTACTGCGGGTAACATGTCAGCCTGGTTAAAGTACAGCCTCTCTCATTCCACTTCCGCTTTCTGCTTGTTTATGTCTGGGTGTGAGTGGTGCTGCCATCCAGTGGCTGTCAAGACGAGTAGGGTACTGCACATCTCTCAGTGCTGATGAAGCTCTGTATATTGTTTTAGCATTCAGGGTTGTAGTGCTTTGGAAACAGTGATGTAAGCATCTGACATTCTTCGAGACTGACAGAAACTGGTTATCATTAAATGCGTTAGGTACTAGAAACGGGTTCACCGATGTCTCTTCCACACTCTTGAAACTTTGCAGAGAGACATGGAAAACCTTCTTTTGACAGGACATGCAGACGTGCCATCCTGGAGGAGCTGGACTACCTGTGCCGCGTGAATCCAAGTACCGTCTCATGCTACCACTAGGAGCGTTGATAGGAAGGATAAGGAGAGTGCAATAGTCTTTGTTCTTCAAAATATTTCATATTAGGGGTTGTCTTGTTGCCACTCTGTGGCGACTTTTGCGACTTTCATTTGCACCAAAGCAGGTGAAATGGACTCACAGTGGTTTATACTTCCTAACTGGACAGAATAATATCCCTGAAGTGTGTTGTGTTGTCTCTCTACACTCCCCAGTGATCTTTTACTTTGTAATTTAAAAGTTCATTTAACATCAAACCTCTTCAATGTGTAGACAGCGTATTTGATGCTTTACTGTTAAGACATCTACAGGAAGCGGTGT